CAACAAACTGCACACAATTAATTAACCACCAACACACACAATTAATCTTAATAAATAATTTAGTGGCTGTGATGACCAGGAAGCTTGTCCTTGATCTTCTCCATCATACTCCTCTTCTCCGGCTCAGTTGTCGCTGTGGTTGTGATGGCGGTACCGACGGCTATGGTGTGTGCCTGTCCTTGCTCTTGTCCATGTCCGTGTGCTTGCTGCTGAGCGTCGTCCTTGTGCTTCCCACCAGTCAATTTTTCCTTTATTTTATCCTTCAGTCCCTTCGTCTTCCTTCTCCCACCTTGCCCATCATCCTCCTCAGACTACAACCAACCAACCGAGGGGAAGAGATCAAGAAAGAAAAGTAAACATTGATCAAAACATGCAAGCCTAGTCTTCGGTTAGAAGATGCATCGCAATATATTTACAAAAAAAATTAGCACAATTAATATGTACAGATATATATATATATATATATGTAGAAAAAAAAGTCTTACGCTAGAGCTTGATGAGCTGCCAGAACGGCGGACTTCACCAGTAACACCACCGTAGTGGGGCTGTTGTTGTCGGTGCTCACCGAGACCACCATCATACCCATGAGATTGATCATTTGTTTGTTTATCACCAAACATTCCAAGCCCGGTCGCAACTCCAGCGGCACCCAACGCGCCACCATGCTCCTCGTATCCACCCGTGGTCCCAGATCCTGGAACATGCACACCGGAACCGGTGTATGTTCCGGTTTCGGTTTCCGTGCTAGTAGCTACACCCGTGAGGTGCATAGGGTTTCCATGCTCGTCTGTCAACTCAACAGGGTTGCCATGCTCATCTGTGAGCTGCACTAGGTTTCCATACTCATCACGAATTTGAGCCATTTGGGTATTTTTTTTCCAAAAAGAGCTGAGCCTCGATCGAAGTAAGAAATCAGAAATGGCAAGCCTTGCTATATTCTATAGATGTTGGAACTTGAACTAAGTTCGATGGGGTTAGGCCTTTTTTTAAAGGGAAAATGAATGACGGTGGAGATATGAGTGTGGCATCTTGCATGTCACTGTGTGCTGACACGTGGCATGACAGTGCCCAGACAATGCCATTAAGAGCATGCGTTGCCACGTTAGATGAAGGTGTTATCTTGTCTGGGTGACACGTGCTTGTCATGGTTGTGGGTTTTGGGTTGGGATATGAATGAATGAATACCTAGCGGAGGAGGAGCATGATAGGAGCATGATCCGGATGTCTGTTTCTTAGCGGGTAATTTACTCATTCAGGTTAAGCAGACAAGGGTAGGGTTTAAGAGTTAAATTTTTGAGAAAAATAATTAAGATTTGGTCCAATTGGATTGGTTGAATAAGCAAGGTTAGAAATGGAGTTTTTGTATTGAGAAAATATAACCAACTAACTAACTAATTATGAGTGCGGTCAGGACCGTCCCTGAGATTTTGAGGGCCCTGTGCAAACTTAGATTGGGGCTTCACATAATCTAATACGAAAATACTATAAATAAAAATTTGCCATAACGTAATGTCATAAACAATTTTTTTATAACTAAAAGTCATGAATAAATATGTCATGACAATCAGAAATCAAATTCATAAAAATTTAAATGTTTATATTTGATAAAATTAAATGTTTAGTACAAAAATAAGCTCATTGTGCCCCTACAAGGTCCCTTGCTGCCTTCAATAAGCAATTTGTGTTTAATAGGAAAAAAAAAATTGGCAATCACAAATTAAAGAGTAGTTGCACACAAATTCTTGAAATTTGAATCTGACTATTTGATTTTGAGTGTTCTTTATGAATATAGGAATTATGGTTTTCTCTTTTTAGTGTTGAAATTCCTGAAATTGAAAGAATAACTAAAATTGTCAAAGGATTGAAAAAAGATCGAAAGAGAGATTGATGAATGATGATGATTACTTACCAGAAAATCAAGAAAGAAGAAACCATGAAGTTTTTTTTTGTTTTGTTTTGAATGAAAAAAGTACTTTTCTTAGAAGTGAAAACTTTTTTCAAAAAAAAAAAAATTTTAAAAGAATGATCGGAGTAGAAAGTGTTTGGGGGATATATATATACTCCTCCTGTGGTTAGCTTCGATGTTTCCTTCTATCTCAAGGCTTTCTTTCTTCTTCTTTTTTTTTAATTTAATAATTATGTAAATTTTTTAGTTATAATGCAAAAATAATAATTAAAAAACAGCAAATATACCGACTTCAGCAAGAATCAAACTCTAGCAATACGTTAAATGGAGAAGCGCTGGAGCCAACTCCACCAGACATGCCCTTGTGCAAATGTGTAGCACTCTATACTATATATACAATTTCTATAATATTAATATATATAATATAAAGAAATTTTTTTTTGGGGGCCCTTAAGAATCGAGAGCCCTGTGCGGTGGCGCCACTTGCGCCACCCCAGGGCCGCCCCTGAGTGCGGTGACATTTCGTCCAAAAGAAATGAGTGCAGTGATATATACTTATTTGCACTAATTAATAAAATTAAGAAATCATTCAATAAGGGATAAAGGTAAAGGATCAATATTTCAAGCCCAGTTAATCGACCCGCTCTGATACCATCTTAATCACATGCATATTTGACAGTAAAGAAAAATAAAAATTGTATGCTTCTTCGTGTCCAAGAATGGCAATTAGCTAGCTGAATCCCAACTAATTTTTAAAACTGGCCAGCGACACCCACTGTTTGGCAAGAAAGTTTTCCCCTTCAACATACACATGTTGTGGTTCGTCTGTGGGGTTTGGGGACTTGGTTATTATTAGTCAATATCTCTGAAATATATCAGGAACAAATCTTTATTGGCTTCTATGTGTCTCGTATGAATTTTCCTTGGTTTGAAGCTTGAAGATATCGAATCTGAATTACTAAATTGTGTTTTGAATGGACATGATTCCAGTACCCAGATTTTTGCCTTTGGGTTCAGAAAGTTACTAGTCCATGTAAAAAAAAGTAAAAAAATGTTTTAGTTCTCCCCAACATCTCACCCTAATTTCAACCCAGTGAATATAATATAACAAATAAACGAATGGGGACCAATAAGATAATATATAATAAATACTAAAAGAAGTTTCCAATTTCATTACTGCTCATATGATTTTATCGTTCATCTTGTTAACAAACATATGCTGCCAAGAAAATACTGATTTCGTGCATATATACATAATATGATCATGCTACGAAATAAACATGCATTGTGTGAACTAGGCTTGGGCATGGATCGGTTCAGAACGGTAGAAGACTTTTCCGTCAACCAAACCAAAGACTTCAGTAGACTATTTTCTATTCTGTTAACCAAACCAAAGACTTCGGATCGGTTAACCTAATATTCGGTTCGGATTGGTTCAGTACGCCGGTAGTACCGTAATAAAAACATACTAATAAAAATACAATTTATACTACTTTCACATAACATAAGTTCTTGAACAAATATACAAAATTATCATTGTAAAATATAAAAATCCAATAGTCTAATTCATCCAAGTATGAAATCAAATAACTTAGTCACTATATCATTCAATATATACTCAAGATGTAATGAGAGCCACTTGTGTTTGTTGTTTGAACATTTGAATGTTATTTTTACTGAATTCTCTACATTTATGTAAATAATTTTGACATTTTTTAAGGATTCTTTAGTGTTTAATGCTGAATCCAACTATATAAAGAAAATAAAATTTGGATCAACGGTTGGAAAGTTACAGGTAAAAAAGGGGACAAAGGTCGAAACTGAAAAACATAGGAAATTCATAAATTCATCTCTGACCAAAAAGTGCTACAGTATCCGAGTGATAAAGCAGTGATACAATGGTGATAAAGAAGTAATACTAAGGGCTGATTGTATTTATTTTTAGTTTCTTGTTTTGTATTTAAATAATAGAATAAGTATAAATATCGGATCGGTACAGGTTTCTGTCGGGTTAGAAATATTGTTCCGTTAACCAAACCAAATATCTCAGTACGGATCGGAATAATTAAAATTAAAAAATAATTATTTAACCAAACTAAACCAAACCGTCGGTACGGTACGATCGGTACGCGGATAATTCGGATGAGATGCCCACCGTTATGAACACTCTATTTTGTGACATTTGGAAAATACCAACTTATTAATTGTAAATGGTGTTATCATCTTTATCATCTTCAATTAACTTAAGGAAAATACTTCTTTCCTTCCTTACCATGTAAGTATGAGTTCCTACATTCCTACCAATAGCTATGCGACATATGTGCATATGATTTTCTTTTTGCGTTTTTGATTAATTATTTGGGAGATTCACTATTATACCCAATATAGGGGCTCAAATTATAAAAATACCACATATGAAATGGACTTTAAAAACACACCCAAAGCCCATTTACAACATAACAAATAGGTTTTTAACTTTTTATAAATTACAAAATTGCCATTAATTTCTTAAAACAAGCCCAAAATCTCATAAAAATATCCAAAATACTCAATAGGGCATCAAAGTAATTTAATAATCAATATTAAATTCAATAAGGCTAGCTGTTTTTTGGGTTATTTTTTGGGTTTGTTTATAGAAATTCAATTGTGTATGGCTTATCTATAATATTAGTGCTAAGAATGGGTATATCACTAAATATCTCTAATTATTTTTGCATATGTATCAAACTGTATTTCTCATTGAAATGTTAATTTTATGGGTGAGTGAAATTAGGGCTTAATTTTGGTAATTTAGGAGTGAAACTGGGTTGATTAGGATTATAAAACGCCATCTAGGGCTAAAATTTTAAGGGTTTCTTCTTCCCATCATTTTCAATTTTCAACCTAGACTTGCATCATTTTTTCTCTCTGTAAATAAAAGAATATATTGAACCGAAAAAATAAGAAACTAGAGGGGGTGGGGAGGCCCAAAAACCAATAGCAGCCCAACATAGCCAAGCACATCACAAACAAATCATGTAAGATGCTGGAATTATGCATCAACAGTTGATATTCGCATACAGGAAAAGCTTCAGAACAAGTCGTGAAAAAGTGAAAGCAGCATCAGGTGCGAGGTGTCGCAGAATACATTCGTAATCAAAGTTTAGTTGACGGAGAAAACGACTAATAAGAGAACATGGAGTGCAAAATCTTCCTCCCTATTCTTCTGCACATTTATCACCAAAATCTTAAAATTTCTATGATTCTTTTCGAATGGCAAGAAACACTCCCTGCGAGATACAAAGTGTTAAGGTAAACCCGAATACATACAACCACCCGTGAATACGCATATCATTTAAACCACCGATCTAACCACTATTTGAAGCTACTGGAAAGGTCAAACGGTGTATTTTATCATGGAAACGGTAGCACCTGCAGAAAAATTACATGGCAACACAACACAGAGTCATAGGAAGGGATATGGTGTTTTTAGGCAAACCCAGCATCCCACTGACATACATAAGTTATCATTTTGATAAATTCATGTATGGATTCACGCAAGGAATAAAATTTGAACAATAAGAATCAGATCACAGGGGTCTTTTTATGCATTTTCATTCCACTATTTTTTCCTTTCACTATTCTATATATTCCCTCCTCCTCTTTACAGTGTAACTCCATAAGCTAACCCTGTTGAATGTCAAGATGCAGTTGCAGATGTTTACAATGTCTTGATAACTGCCCTCTTCGCAATCCTTTATCCAACTGAGATTGCAAAAGAAGAATCAACACTGGAATCTGTATAAAAATAACAATACTGAGTTCAACAAGAACCAAAAAAAAGTTTCCAATCAGCAGCATAACTCCCGTATTCAGAGGTTTTGAAGTTGATGACTTCAGTGCCAAACAGAAATTAATCCTAAACATACCAGGTCGATAATCATGGCCAGAGTGTATGGAAAGTGTAGATTTATTAAATAGGTATGCCAAAGGAATAGTGACAAAATTTTACTGAATAAGTGGTGCAAGAAATATTACATGGGAAACAGATATGCTCACCTCCCAAACATCTATAAGTTAGCTC